GCAGGAGAATCATCTGAGGTCAGGAGTCCAGGAGTCCAATCATCTGACCAGCCTGGCCAACATGGTGAAACCCCATCTCCACTAAAATTACAAAAAGATTAGCAGGGCATACTGGTGCATGCTTGCAGTCCCAGGTACTAAGGAGCTGAGGCAAGAGAAACACTAAAAAATAAATAAATAAATAAATAAGTAAAATTAATAAATTCTAGAAAAAAATCAAACAATCCAAAAGAAAGCAGAAAATGGGAAATCAAGGAGGGGGAAACAGAGAAAATAAGCACAACACATATTATAAACTGGTACTCTAAATCCAAAGATATTAATTGTTTTATGTGTAATATAATCAAATTAATATCAATATTTACACATTATAAATACTTTCAATGCAACAGTTACATTTAATGTAAAATACTATGTTGAAATTTAGATTGAAATAATTAAATTTACCAATAAAAACCCCAGATTGTGAGAAAAGATAAAAATAACATGACTTGGCTGGGCACGGTGACTCATGCCTGTAATCCCAGCACTTTGGGAGGCTGAGGCAGGCAGATCACCTGAGCTCAGGAGTTCAACACCAGCCTGGCTAAAATGATGAAACCTCATTTCTACTAAAAATACAAAAAATTAGCCAGGCATGGTGGTGTGTGCCTGTAATCCCAGCTACTTGGGAGGCTGAGACAGGAGAATCACTTGAACCCAGGAGGCAGAGGTTGAAGTGAGCTGAGATTGGGCCATTGTACTCCAGCTTGGGCAACAAGAGCAAAACTCTGTCTTGAAAAAAAACAAACAAACTATCATGACCCAACTATGTGCTGTCTACAAGAAACTCCATTTAATTGAAATTATAAAGGTAGGTCAAAGGTAAAAAAAAATAGAAAAAGATATGCCATGCAAGCACTAATCAAATGAAAGCTGGAGTGTCTATACAAACTGGACAGCAGATATTCCGGATCTCAGAACAAGGAAAATTAACATAAAGAGGGAATTACATAAGAATTTAGACTTGACCCCACCTCTCCTGTCCCTGCCCTCACCACTGATGGACCTAAAGCACAATAAAAAGTGGGAATCTCTGCCCTAAATAATCCCTTTTGGCAGTTACTTTCTGTTTTAACCTTCAAGTCTGTCCTCCTGGACTAACCTAGGAGATGAGGGGTAAGGGAATTAACATTTATGGAAAATGGAAGAACCCACATAGGCACCTGTGTTCACCTTATATTCCTTACCAACCACCTGAAAGGTGGGTGCTGCAATTATTCCCATTGTACAGATGAGAAAATAGGCTTAAAAGAGGTTAAGTAACTTGGGGGTGGTCACAGCCAACTAGTAAGTGCTAGAGGTAGGATTCTCACCTAGTTCTCTCTGATTTGAGTTGGAGAGGTAGCTTTGTTCAGTGGGTTTTAGAGCCAGGGCTGCTTAGATTTGAATCTCAGCTCTACCCTATATTATTTGCTGGACCTTCCTTAAAACAGTGTGGGGCCCAGGGCAATCCAATGAGTATGGGCTAAGACAGCTACCACACAGTCAGCATTTCCCCCAGGCCCCTCAAGATAGCACTGAAGACAGAAATTTCTAAATTGAATTTTATTGATGTTCAGGAAAGAGAAGTAAGTCACAATGTCCCTTGGGCCTCAGCCCCAAGAAGAGAGCCCAGAGTGTGTGACCTCAGGCAAGTGCCAGAAACTCTCTGAGCCTCAGTCCCTCATCTGCAAATTGGAGATAATGTCAGTTGATGTGAATATTAAATATGATGATGTCCTGGCCAGACACAGTGGCTCATGCCTGTAATTTCAGAAGTTTGGGAGGCCAAGGTGGGTGGATTGCTTGCCATCAGGAGTTCAAGGCCAGCCTGGCCAACATGGCGAGAGCTCTTTCTACTAAATATACAAAATTAGCTGGGCCAGGAGTTCAAAACCAGCCTGGCCAATGTGGTGAAACCCTATTTCTACCAAAGATACAAAATTTAGCTGGGCATGGTGGTGCTCGCCTGTAGTCCCAGCTACTCAGGAGGCTGAGGCAGAGAATCACTTAAACCTGGGAGGTAGAGGTTGCAGTGAGCAAAGATTGTGCCACTGCACTCAAGCCTGGGTAACAGAGTAAGAGTCCGTCTCAAAAAAAAAAAAAAAATTTATATATATAAAATAAAATACTCTGATGATGACTGCTTCCATCAAGGGTGCCTCATGCTCTCTCCTTTTCTTTCAGTGCCATCTACCATTATCACGCCCTTGTTCTCTGCCAGTGCTCTGGCAGAGCAGGGGGGGCTCATGCCCACAGTGCCCTCTCCGAGTTCTGTCCTCCATGTGCTCAAATTATCCCCTAAGCCTGTCACATGTGGTCATCCCGGAACTTTCCCTAACTGCTTCCTGGGTTGGGGCCTTTATTTCTTGGCTCCCTTCTCTTCTTGCTTAATTTTCCCCCCCTTTGCTGCAGCACATACTCAGCTAAGAATCCCTTTTTAACATTAAAAAAAGAAAAAGAGAATGGTTTTTGGACCTCCTGATGATAGAAGTTGTATCCTTAGGCCGGGCATGGTGGCTCATGCTTGTAATCCCAGCACTTTGGGAGGCCAAGGCTGGTGGATCACTTGAGCTCAGGAGTTCAAGACCAGCCTGGGCAAGATGGTGAAACTCTGTCTCTACAAAAAATAAAAAAATAGCCAGGTGTGGTTGCTCGAACCGGTAATTCCAGCTACTCAGGAGTCTAGGCAAGAGAATCACTCGAACCCAGGAGGTGGAGGTTGTAGTGAACCATGACCATGTCACTGCACTCCAGCCTGAGTGACCGAGTGAGACCCTGACCCCCTCCCAAAAAAAAGTAGTTATATCTTTAATATCCATTAACTGAAAAAAAAAAAAAAAGCCCATAAGAACCAAGAATTGCCAAGAGGACACACCTGCTTTTAAATGAATTTTTGTGTTATTTACCACAGTAACATCTATGACCTTGTGAAAACTTACGGTTTTGGCTTAAGAGTTTGCCCAATCCAGCTTCAATATATTTTTTTGAGATGGAGTCTCACTCCTGTCATGAAGACTGGAATGCAGTGGAGCGATCTTGGCTCACTGCAACCTCCACCTCCTGGGTTCAAGTGATTCTCCTTCCTCAGCCTCCTGAGTACCTGGGATTACAGGCGTGAGCCACCGTGCCCGGTCAGAATTTTCTTCTTTTACTTTTGGGATGAGCCACCTTTACTGCCTCAAATTCTGCTTGGATTGAGTTACCGCCTTCCAGGCTCAAGCAATTCTCCCACCTTAGCCTCCCAAGTAGCTGGGACCACAGGCGCATGCCACCATTCCTGGCTCTCTGCTCTCATGTGCTCTTATGTGAGCTCATGAGAGCAGAGAGATAGCAACAGGAGCTAAGGAACCCTAATCTGTGAAAAAATATTAAATATGAAATCATGATAGCTATTAGCAATCCCAGACCCAGCCCGGAGAGCCAAGGGTCATCACTTTTTACAACAAGCTCTAAAATCTTCCACATATACCATGACCAAGGCACATCAAAACAACCCAAGGCTCCTCACGCCTCCACTTTTATCAGCCTGGGCCCAAGATAGCTGCACATTGAATAGTCAATTTTGGGGGCTGGGGAAATAATTTACCATGAGTAACTGCCCTAAAATATACTCTCCAGCCATGTGACCCAAGCCTGGCATTCAATAGTGCCGGTGGCGTTCTTTAGGGTTGATCACAGCTCTAAGTGGTTCTCCTTTAAAGAGCAAAGTCTCCTGGGAAAGGTGGCCATTAAGCAGAACATCTAGGGCCGATCTTGCTTTTGCCCTGATGAGAGGGGCCAAGGGGCTTTGTAGAGCAGCAGAGGCTGTGACGGTGAACCTTACTGTTTTTAAAATTGTTCTTAAGAGGCCAGGTGCATTGGCTCACACCTGTAGCCCCAGGGCTGAGAAGCAGAGGCAGAAGGATTGTTTGAGTCCGCGAGTTCAAGATTAGACTGAGCAACTCAGGGAGACCTCATCTCTACAAGAAATTTAAAAGAAAATTAATCGGGCATGGTGGCACATGACTAGGTTTGTGCCCTAGACAGACTTCCTCTCAGGTTATTTCAGATGGTGAGATTCTTTCCAGCTTTAAATGGCCTCTAGAGAATTTTTACTAACCTGCCTTGGTGTTGACCCTGTATAACCCCTGTCTTCTGGAGGTCCCTTTGGGTGGCAGTAGATATGGGATTTGGTGTCTGACAGACCTGGGGACAGATCCCAGCTCCAAATGGCAGAGTCTCTTTACAGCTTACAGGGCAAATACTTGGCGCTATGTGCTGATCTTTAGGAAGTCAGTCTGTATTTCATAACGAGTCACATGCGGATAATGAAGGCACGGCCTAAAATGCTCTTATTCATATTCCTGAGTCATCCCTGAGGGCCAGGCTTGGTGTTAGGCATGGGGCGGGGGAAGGGAGCAGGGCTGTGTGCAGAGGAGGATGCGATTCTTGCCTTGTCAGGGTCCCTGAGCTGATGGCGACCCGGGGTGGAGTCTTCATAGTGACAGACACCACTGCAAGAGCAGACTCAGACTATGCAACCCCCAGAGCAGGGCTCCTCACTCACCGGGATAGATAGAACCATTGGCCCTAATTCCTCAGCCCTCCCTGCACCCTCCGCTTGCATGGTTTTGTGGTGGGTGGAGGGTACTTTCTGCCCCCTGGCTTGGGGCTTGCCCACGTGGCTTGCTTTGGCCATGGAATGAAGCAGAAACGAAAGCCTGCCGGTTCCGAGCCCGCGGCCTGAAGACGCCTCAGGCGGTTCCGCGGCCCCCGTGCGCTTCCCCCTTCACCCAGAAGCCCTTCTCTGGTGCAGCCGCTGCTTCCTCAGCCGCGGCCCAGAAGGAACGGCCCCTGGCCAATCCGCAGGCCTGCAGGGAGCCGCAGAGCGCAGCAGCCGGCCCAGCGTTCAAGCCGAAGCCCAGGACTGCGAGAACCTTATTCTAGCCGCCGTTCTGGACGGTGGATTAGGACGCGTTGCTGTGGCAGAAGCTCAGTGCATGCACCCGCTCCTTCATTAGGCTATAGGGCCAGCGGCTGCGACAGGGACCTGATACAACAGTGCGTTAAATAAGGAGCTTATTGAGCTCTCCTGCCGTAAGGCGGTGGAGAAGTCCAGGGCCAGTGTGGGGGCTCCGGCCGGGGCTGCGGCCCATCCGCGTGGAACCTCACTCTGGTTCGCAGGTTGTGGTTTTAGGAGCCTTCAGCCTGGCGAGCCCCAAACGGTCCACAGGGCGGCGCCAGACCCTCTTCCCAGCGCCACCTCTAAAGCCTTGGCTCCAACCAGTTCCGCTTCTGCTTCAGGCTCGGGATGTTCACTCTTCTCAAATGGGGATGGCCCTCCCCCGATCTTCTGAGTCGCAACACCATCTCTTTCCTCCAGGACCTCAGAGCCAGAGCTAGGCGAGGTCCTGACCTCCAGGGTCGGGGTGGCGTCCCTGTGAAGATGCGGTCCTTCCTCCCGTCCCCAGGCTCCCGGCCTCTCCCACCCTCAGCCCCCTGCTCACTTCCAGCTGAAGACGCCGGCGCACCTCTGCTCCCTTCCCGCTCTCTCTGCAGTACCGCAGAGTGAGCACACAAGGGCTTAATAGAGGCTTTGCTGGGCGCGGGGCTCCCGTCTGTAATCCCAGTACTTTGGGAGACCAAGGCGGGAGGATCACTTGAGGCCGGGAGTTCAAAACCAGCCTGGGGAAAAAAGTGAGGCCCATCTTTAAAAAAAAAAAAAGGAATAAAAGAGGTCCCCTTTTCTGGGAGATTCATATAGGAGAGCAGGCATGTGAGTTAGAAGGGAGGCATTGAGGATCAGCCATTTAAAGCAGCCTCCAAGGATATTCACGGCTAGAGATCCACAGGTGTATTTTCAGAAACTGAATTTCCTGGTGGGGTACAGTGGCTCACGCCTGTAATCCCAGCACTTTGGGAGGCCAAGGTGGGTGGATCACTTGAGGTGAGGAGTTAAAGACCAGCCTGGCCAACATGGTGAAACTCTGTTTTTACAAAAAATAAAAATAAAAAGTATTCGGGTGTGGTGGTGGGTGCCTGTAATCCTAACTATTCAAGAGGCTGAGGCAGGAGAATCACTTGAACCTGGGAGGCAGAGGTTGCAGTGAGCCAAGATCACGCTACTGCACTCCAGGCTGGGCGACAGAGTGAGACTGTCTCCAAACACACACACACACACCCCAAAACAGGCTGGGTGGGTGGATCACCTGAGGTCAGGAGTTCTAGACCAGCCTGAGCAACATGGTGAAACCCCATTTCTACTAAAAATACAAAAATTAGCTGGGGTGGTGGCGCATGCCTATAATCCCAGACTAGGGAGGCTGAGGCAGGAGAATTGCTTGAACCCAGGAGGCAGAAGATGCAGTGAGCCAAGATCGTGCCATTACACTCCAGACTGGGCAATAAGAGTGAAACTCCATCTCAAGAAAAACAAAACAAAACAAACCAACCCCTAAGTTTCCCTGTAGATACCTTTACTCTGGCAGCCGTTTTCAATGATGGCTGTTTTCTTCAATACTATATGGCCTGCAGACCACTCAGCTTTCATTCCAGTGAGAACATTTGAGAACAAACTTTGGGTCAATCCCAAGTGCTTCTCCAATCAACTCAGAGGAAGGTTGTGTGTCAACTGCTGCCCAGCTAGAATGACACCTCTCCAGGTTTCTGACTTAACCAGGTCTTCACCATGTGACTCCACCGTGGACTCCCACCTTCTTCTTTTGCAAAGCCTCAGACACCCAAACGCCTACCCAAAAGTTTGTAAAGTGCCAGGAGGAGGGTGCACCCCAACTCCACAAGGACCCTTCCAGACCTCACCCTGTGTTATTCATCTGGCTGTTCATTTGTATCCTTTAATGTATCCTTGGTAATAAATCAGTAACAGTAGATAAACTGTTTTCCTGGGTTCTGTGAGCTGCTCTAGCAAATGGTCGAACCTGAGGAGGGAGTTGTGGGGACCTCCAATTTATAGCCAGTTGGTCAGATGCATAGGTGATGCCTGGCCTTGCAACTGGGATCTGATGTGGGGGTGGTCCTGTGTGACTGAGCCCTTAACCTGTGGAGGTTGATGCTCACTCTGCTTAGGGGTTCTCTGCCTTTGTAGAGTCCCGTCTAGAAGGCCTCTCCTTCCTCTTGTCAGCTCAGAAACCTTGTTTTCCACGTCCCTTCTTCTAAGCTAACCCATACATCTACTCCTTTCTAGCTGACCGAGAGCAGAACCACGCTTGACTCCACTGCCACTATGCCGTCTCATGCTGTCTACTCAGGATGTATTCAGATGTCCGTTCCTCCCCCCAGTCTAGGAGCCCTTTGAGAGGGATGCTGTCCTAGTCAACTCTTTCCCAGCACCAGGCACAGCATCTGGCACATTCTGTCTTTTTCAAGGACTCTTCCCAGGCGGCCTGACATTCCCTCCTCTGAACTGCTGCATTTCTTGTCTGCATCATGTTTACCCTAATCAGACATCACCTTATTTCGTTATCTTTTCACAAGTGCTTTATTTCTCTGGCAGGTTTAATTGGAATCAGAATTTTCATTCATTTGGTAGCTGTTGGCCTTGCGTCCACCTCTCTCTGGCACTCAGGTCTCACTTAAGAGCTGGCCCTCTGAGCCATGGTTTGCCGTCAGTGAGATGGAGACAGGGGCAGTCCTAGGCAGTCATGTTTTGTTCCACCTGACTCTGGGCGCCCCTCCCTCTCCCAGGCAACAGGCAGGGATGGATACCAGCCTGGGAGACACAGCTCATCCACAGGCTGGCCCAGCAGAAACTCTGGGCTCAGCCAAAACTGCTCAGTTGAGGACAAACTGGGCAAAGTAGAATATTACTCTTGGGAGTTTTTAGAATATGGTGGGGTAGCATTTGGGAATAATAAGATTTGTAGCTGGGTATGGTGGTGCATGCCTGTAGCCCCCCAGCTACTCTGGAGGCTGAAGCAGGAGGATCTTTTGAGCCCAAGAGCTTGAGGCTACAGTGAGCTATGAATGTACCACTGCACTCCAGCCTGGGTGACAAATCAAGACCCTGTCTCCAAAAAACATGTACACATTTCAGATACATAAAATGTATTTTTTAATTAAGCATAAAAATTATATAAATATGCCAAAATAGGAACCTGGAGATGCTTGGAATCCAGACTTTGGGAGCCTAGCGGTGCAAGGATCTCTAGTCTTGGCTTTTTCTTTGAGATGGAGTCTTGCTCTGTCGCCCATGCTGGTGTGCAGTGGTGTGATCTCGGCTCACTGCAACCTCTGCCTCCTGGGTTCAAGCAATTCTCCTTGCCTGAGCCTCCCGAGTAGCTGAAATTATAGGCACACATCAACACCCCAGCTAATTTTTTTATTTTTTAGTAGAAATGGGGTTTTGCCACGTTGGCCAGGCTGGTCTTGAATTCCGGACCTCAGGTGGTCCACCCACCTCAGCCTCCCAAAGTGCTGGGATTACAGATGAGAGCCACCATGCCCAGCCTAGTCTTAGCTTTTTGTCAGCTCCCTGCTTATGTCTAACACTCGCCCCATTACAGAGCTGGTGTGGGTTTCTGTCCTGGTGACTTAACAGTGTAACTAAAGTGCTTAGCACTGTACCTGGATCATAGCTGGTGCCCAATAAACAGCAGCTGTCATCACCCTCACTATCGGTATGTTATTGTTACTGACTCGTTGATGGCAACCATAGCTCATCCCCCTCTATCTCCCATGCCTTACAGCAGGGCAGTGGAATGGTTAAGAGGCTTTGAAGTCCAACAGGCCTGGTGTAAAACACTAACTTGTCGTTTTGGATGTGTGGCCTTGGACACTTGGGCAGGTCACCTATGTTCCTCAAGCCCTGTTTCCTTATGTCAGATGATTTTAAAAACTATGCTTCCATGGATTGCTGGGGTAAATGATGTAAGACTGTAAAATTCCTAACCCAGTGTTTGGCATCAAGTAAGCAAATTGTAAATGGTAGCTGCTGCTCTGCCTATACTTATAACTATTTAGTCTTGTGCTTTCCACTCAAATATTTGAAGTCATCACACAGAAAGACACTTTTCAGTCTCAGTAAGGAACTTGGGGAGGTAACTGGGGCAGGCAGCAAGAGAACAGGTGTCTTTTCTTTTTTTTTTTGAGACAGAGTCTCACTCTATCGCCCAGGCTGGAGTGCCATGGTGCAATCTCAGCTCACTGCAACCTCCACCTTCTGGGTTCAAGCGGTTCTCCTGCCTCAGCCTCCCAGGTAGCTGGGATTATAGGTGTGTGACAGCATGCCTGGCTAATTTTGTATTTTTATTAGAGACGGGGTTTCATCATGTTGGTGAGGTTAGTCTCCAACTCCCGACCTTAATTGATCCACCTGCCTCGGCCTCCCAAAGTGCTGGGATTATAGGTGTGAGCCACCTGGCTTGGCCTTCCTAGTTAAAATTCTGTGAGGTTTGTATAAAAGGAATAGCATGAGAGCCCAAAAACCAGTAAGATGAAAAAGTAGTGTTTCCCCAGTTCTCGGATCCAGGGAAAAAAGAAAAAAAAAAAGAGAGAGAAAGTAGCGTTTCCTGCCACTTTAGAGGAAGGACTCACATATTCTTCCTTCCATCAGCCTTGATGGAGACTAGCGCCCTCACTCCAACACCAGGTGGCCTTCCCTGCCCCTTCCCCAGAGCCTCCAAGAAGACCCCTAGCCTGCCACCACCAGCAGGAACAGGCACCAAAACCCTTCCCCTTCCTGTCCCTTCCCACCTCCCCAAAGGGTTGGGGACATCAGATGTGTCCCTGTTAGTTCCATCCAGCTCAGCTTTGGCTGGGGAGCTAATTTCAGGGGAGTCAGGCTAAGCATTAGGGTAAGTAAGTATTCTTCCTGTCTTGGGTAGTTTCCTCCCTGAAAAATCAGGACAGAGTTCTAAGCTTTCCTCTATTTCTTAAATTATAATTTAAAAATTGCTGGATTGGCTGGGTGCAGTGTCTCACACCTGTAATCCGAGCACTTTGAGAGGCTGAGGCGGATGGATCATGAGGTCAGGAGTTTGAGACCAGCCTGGCCAACATAGTGAAGCCCTGACTCTACTAAAGATACAAAAAATTAGCCGGGCATGGTGGTACGTGCCTGTAATCCCAGCTACTCAGGAGGCTGAGGCAGGAGAATCGCTTGAACCTGGAAGGTGGAGGTTGCAGTGAGCTGAGATTGTGCCCTTGCCCTCCAGCCTCGGTGACAGGGCGAGACTCTGAATTAAAAAAAAAAAAAATCACCAGACTAATATTTACCTTCAGAATGCTTCTTCATCATCCTTTGGTGCCCTTCTATGACGGTATATCTGTTTTGGAAGAAAACACAATTAAGATTACCCATCACAACCACCACTATCTCCAAATCTGTATTTATTCCTTTTATTCATTATAAGACTCATCCACCAGAGGACAGAACTTTTTGGAGACAAGAATTGTATGCTGTTTACAGTGCTTTGATTCCTCCACAGTACACTCATCCTTGATATCTTGTAGGGGATTGGTTTTAAGATACTGCCCCCACACCATACCAGAATCTGTGGATGCTCAATCCCTTACATATAATGATGCAGTATTTGCATATAACCAACATACATCCCCCAGATACTTTATTTAGAGACAGGATCACCCTGTGTTGCTCAGGCTGGAGTGCAGTGGCACAATCACAGCTCACTGCAGCCTGAGCCTCCTGGGCTCCAGTGATCTGTCTAACTCAGTCTCTTGAGTAGCTGGGACTACAGGTGCCCACCACCATACCTAATTTTTTTATTTTTAGTAAAGACCACATCTCACTATGCTGCCCAGGCTGGTCAAGCGATCCTCCCATCTTGGCTTCCCAAAGTGGGAATTACAATTACAATCCCACACTTGGGATTACAAGTGTGAACCATCATGCCTGGCCCCATGTACTTTAAGTCATCACCAATAAAATGTATAGATATTGTACAATGGTGACAGTTGTTCTGCTGTACTTTCTATTTGTATTTTTATGCTGTTTTTTTTCAAATATTCAGCCTCATCTAGTTGAATCTGAAGATGTGGACCTGCTGATGCAGAGGGCTGACTGTATCTAACTTAGGGTCTTACATGCAGCTGGCACTTAATATATTTTATTGACTGTTTTAGATAAAATTCAACAGATAATTCCTAATAAAAACTCTTAAAAGTAGGAAAAAAGGAAATCCGAGTCCTTCCTCTAAAATGGCAGGAAAACCAGCCTGGGCAGCATAGCAAGACCTTGTCTCTACAAAAAAAATTTTTTAATTAGCTGCTGGCCTGTAGTCCCAGCCAATCAGAAAGCTGAGGTAGGAGGATCCCTTAAGCCCCAGACTTTGAGATTACAGTGACTGCTCTCCAGCCTGGGTGAAAACAGGCTCTGAAAAGGAAAAAAGGAAGGAAGGAAGGAAGGAAGAGAGGGAGGGAGGGGGAGGGAAGGAAGGAAAGAGGGAAGGAAGGAAGGAGGGAGGGAGGGAAGGGGGAGGGGGAGGGGGAAGGAGGGAGAGAAGGGAGGGAGGGAAGAAAGTAGAGTATAACTATTGGAAAGGAAGAGAGAAAACTATCATTATTTGCATATGAAATGATAAATATTAGACAGCCAAAAAAGCCTAAGAGAATCAACTAACATTTTACTGGAAGTAATATAAGAATTCAGTACGGTGGCTAAATACAAAATCAAGAGATCAGCATACAAAAAATTTTTTTTAAAAAGATGGCTACCTCAGATACTTTTCCCATGTACCACCAATAACTAATTAGAAAATGGAAGTAAGATCCCATTTACAATGGTGATAAAAATGTATGAAGTATTTAGGAACAAAAATACAAAGATCTTTTATCTAACAGAAGATGTGTAAGATCTGTATGATGGAAACAGACTCTTCTGAAAGACATTCAAAAAAATGAATACATGACAAGAGATGTCACGTTCCTAGAATGTTGTACAGATGTTACTTGTCAAATTAATCTGCAAATTTAGTGTGATCCTATTCAAATCCCAAGACAGTTTTTGGTGGTGGCTATTTTTGAGACAGGGTCTTGCTCTGCTGCCCAGGCAAGAATGCAGTGGTATGACCACAGCTCACTGCATCCTCAACCTCCCAGGCTCAAGCAATCCTCCCACTTCAGCCTCTGAAGTCGCTCATATGGTGTCTAAGAAATGGTGACAAATCTCACAAAGGGAGTAGGCTCAAAAGGGCTGGAGTATTCAGGGAAGGTGTCAAGAAGAAAGACGAACTTGAGATGGCTTTTGAGAGATTCATAGGATTCCCTCAGGCAGAGTGAAACAAGGGAATTTTAAATGGACAAAGGTACAGAAAAAAGCAGAAATGGGCATGGTGTGACCAGGGTATGGTGAGGGGCTGCTCTGGCTGGAATGGAGGGCTGCCACAATAATGGAAATGGTGAGTGAGGGAAATAAAGTTGGATTGGCAGCATAGCGTCAAGGTTGCCAGCTTATTAACTCACTCTTCCAATATGCTAGCACTGGCCTGTTGGGAAAAGTAATACATCATGTAATCGAACAAAAGGCAAACAGAGGCAAGCTCTGGGAATGGGCGCTATAAACAGGACTCGCCCCAGAGTAGCCAGATACAGGCTTTAGATATGTAATGCAGAGTGAGCATCCCTAATCCAAGGAGAAATGTCTCATATGGTGTCTGAGAAATGGTGACACATCTCACAGAGAGCCTGGGCTCAGGAGGGCTGGAGTATGAGACATTCCCCCTCCCCTGTGAACTTAAATAAGTGGCCAACTACTTTTTTAAAAGATGGCTACCCTGTAGTGCTTTAACTGGACCTATTTAGACAATGCCCTACACACTGGAGAAGGAAGACACTGTGTGAGTCTGGTAAGTCTACAAGACGAGACCTCTCTTTTGCCTTGTCCTTCCTCTCCAGGGTGATGACAGCTCTGTGAGGGTGGAGATTATACATTTCTCTTCATTTCATCAACAAGGAAGTAAATTAGTGGCAGAGTACATTCAATTGTCGACATAGTTTTGGGTGGGAGAAATTTTGCCATTATATCAACTTAATTTCTTAAAATAGTCTAGTGGGATTAACTTAATTTCAATTGACAGAAATGTCCTGGAAGTGACGATCCTTTAAAAATCCTGGAATATACATTACAGTAAAAGAACAAAGCATACCTCGGCCTTACAACTGAAGGAGAATGTCAAGTAGTAGTAGGTGGGAAAGTGGCTTTGATTTTCAGTTTGTGGGTTCTGAATCTACACAAAGACAGGATTGCATTCTGAAAACCTGAATTAATTATTGTCCTTACCTGAATGAGACAGAAAATGATGATTATAATTGTTATAATTACAGTCACAGATACTGCCAGGATGAGTATGTTATTGAAGCCATATTTTGGAACAACTTTAGTGTGCTAAAAAAAAAACAACAACAACAATTTTTTTAAGAAAACAAAGAGATAGGATGAAAGCTAACTATTCAAAACCCCAGTATTCCAAGTGAGTAGCTTACAGGTTCTTTTTTATTTTTTTTGAGATAGGATTCCACTCTGTTGCTCAGGCTGAAGTATAGTGGTATGATCACGGTTCCCTGTAGACTTGACCTCCCTGGGCTCAGGTGATCCTCCCACCTTAGCTAGCCTCCTGAGTAGCTGCGACTACAGGCATGTGTCACCACACCTAGCTAATTTTTGTGTTTTTTTGTGGAGACAGGGTTTCACTATGTTGCCAAGCTGGTCTCAAACTCCTGACCTCAAGTGTTCCACCCACCTTAGCCTCCCAAAGTGCTGGGATTACAAGCATGAGCCACCTGGCCAAAGTTACATGGCCAAGACAAGCTATGGCCTGTGAGTCCCAGGTTCTCTTGTGTTGGCACTTCCCTGACATATGCTAAATGATGGGAAAGTCCGGGTCTCACCTTTCTGTGTGGTCCTCACCTCACTTGACCTCTGCTCTTTCTGTTCACTCTGGGCTTCCGTGTTCTCGTTGATATAGTTCTCGGTTTTCCACTGGTCCGTATCCCATTCTGCCTTGGATGCCTTTACTTCTTGCCGTTCACTGAGAAGCTTCATCAGGAGGCCTGTCCTGGAGATGAGCTTAGCACAGGCTAATTGCACTTGGGTCTCAGAGCAGTCCATCTTCAAGGTCCGGATAACATGAGATATGAGCCCTCTCACGTTGTTGTCAGGGATGAGGGACCGTAGCTGCTGGTTTAGCTGCATTTCAAACTGATCACCTGGGGATGAGAGCAATGGGTAATTGTTTTTGGGCTTGGGAAACAGGTCAGTGCCCAAGTCATTGTATTCCCATTTTATTTCAGGGGTTTGTTTAACAGTTGGCTCAAGGTTGAACGCAGTTCCAGTGGAATCTGCCTCAGGAGGATTATTGTAGGTTGTGTCTTCAGAGATGGTGCCTTCTGGCATAGCAGTTTCAATGGAAGGAGCAAAAAGTTTTCGAAAACGATTTTCTTGAGATGAAGAAGCCCCTTCTGAAGGGGAATTTATGAGGCTCTCTGCTGCAGAGAACAGAGCCTTTAGACTGTTTTTGATCTCAAATTGGGCTTTTGCAGAGGTGGAGGCAGAGGGCCCACCCATGGAGAAGGGTTTCAGCAAAGAGGAGACCCCTGTCTTATGCTCTTGGGTGAACAAAGGCTTGGTGTAGATGGTGTTTCCCACTAACTTCTTGGGCCTCTGCACCAGGTGAGGCTGTTCCACTTCCCTTGGGGCCGCACTCCCGGGCCTTTTTCCTTTGGCAGTGTTTTCCACAAATGCCTGGGCACTCTGTTCCCTCCTGATGCTCTGCTTTCCCACCTCTTTGAAGTGCCTTCTCTGGATGCTTCCTGGGCCCATGAGGACGCTGTTTGCTCTCTCCAGGCTTTTCCCTACACTTTGAATCTTTGCCAGGCTGTTTTCCTGTGGTTGGGCAGTTTCTAATTTGGTCCCCAAAATTGGCCTTTTAAATTTGGGACCTAAAAGCCTGGACTGTACAAGCATGGCAGTTTTTTCTTCCCTTTTAACCTCATCGATTTTTTCTTGAATTTTTGCATCCAACACATTTTCCAGAAAATACAGCTTTCTCAATTTATTTTTGTAAGTTGAGTTGTTGGATGCAGGTTGAAGAGAGGGGCTCTTTATATTGTTTTTCAAAATACCCAGGGGCCTGTCACCATCTTGCGAACCTGAAAAAAGCAGTTTAATGAACGGTAACAACATTGCCTCCCCATCGTCTAGATTTCCTGCCGAGAAATAAGGCAAGATATAATTTAGTGCACTGATAACATCACTTTCATCATTGATGTCTAGCTGCTCACTCCCAAAGCCTGACAAGTTGATGCCATTGCTGTCTGAGGGTGTCTCTGGCTCAATAGTCAGCTCAGTGCTGGTGTGCTTCTTCCGGGATTGTAACACCTTCATGAATGCTCCTTCGGGATTCCCTATAGATGCTTTTTCAAGACAATGTATGGTGTTTGTCAGACATGCACTGTTGCAATGCAGCTTGACTGTCTTGCAGGCAACCTCAATGCTATTTTTAAATTGGCAGAGGCAGCAGGCCATATGGCTAGGTAAGATCCTATAGATAAAAACACAGAACAATAAATTAATGGTGAAGGGGTTTCTTGAGTAGGTAAAGGAGGCAGACCAATGCTACCACAGGGCTGTGTAAAAAGGTGTTATTGAGGCCTATGGACTGGACAGTTGGGTAGGAACCAGAAGGCCACAGGAAGGAGGGCAGAGATGTACAACAGAAGGGTAAGCATGGCAGTGAGTATGGTATGCCTAGAATAAATGTGGTTGGGATTAGAACTGGGTGACACTGATCAGTAGTTTAATTCAGAAGTATCTCTTCCCAACTCAAAAATTTCGCTTTGGGCTGAAAGTCCACAGGAAGAAGGTAGACTTCTAAGAAGAGTCTGAATAAGCCCCCAACTTCTGTAGTCCCTTTCTCAATTCCTGTTGGGAGTGAAAAATTAATTAGACATTCTCTGGGCATTAAAAACAGCTTAGTCACTTTGGGAGGCCGAGGCGGGTGGATCAAGAGAGGCGGGAGGTCAAGAGATCGAGACCATCCTGGTCAACATGGTGAAACCCCGCCTCTACTAAAAATACAAAAAATTAGCTGGGCGTGGTGGCGCGTGCCTGTAATCCCAGCTACTCAGGAGGCTGAGGCAGGAGAATTGCCTGAACCCAAGAGGCAGAAGTTGCGGTGAGCCAAGATCAGGCCATTGCACTCCAGCCTGGGTAACGAGCGAAACTCTGTCTCAAAAAAAAAAAAAGAAAAAAGAAAACAGCTTAGTTTAACATGTATTGTGGGGTAAAAAATAACAGAGATTTCATTGGCCAAATCTGGATGGACATTTGAGCATTCAGAAGAATAACAACAATAATAAGCTACAACATAACTAATATAAAGAAGAATCCATGAAGAATGGTATTCAAAAAGAAAGAGGGGGTGTTCTTCTTTAATGAAATAATGCCAGCTGGTAAATGCAGAAGGAATGACAAAATTTAAAAAAAGTGTCACTTTGCACCCCAATGTAATAAAAATTGATTTAGACAAGGATTATTATTGATACGCAGTTGGGTAAAAAGACACTTGTGAACAGGATCTTCACTGATTTCAAAGTATCTCCCCACAGATTATTTATTAATTACCAAGGGGAAAATTATTTTTTATTTATTTTTTATGAGACAAGGTTTCACTCTGCCACTCAGGCTGAAATATAGTGGCAAAATCATAGCTCATTGCAGCCTCGACCGGGCTCAAGTGATCCTCCAAATTCAGCACCCTGAATACCTGGGACTATAGGCTTGTACCACCACACCCAGCGAATTTTCTTTTGTATTTTTATTAGAGACGGGGTTTTACCTTGTTGTTCAGGCTGGTCTAGAACTCCTGGACTCAAGTGATCTGCCCACCTCAGCCTTCCAAAGTGCTGGGATTCAAGTGTTAGCCACTGCACCCAGCAAAATAACTACAATGAAGAGATCTGGAAGATCACCTTAATCAAGTGATCAAACTTAGCATTATGGGCCACCTGTGGTCACGAGGCAGGAAGGATGTATCACCTATGCAGTATTCTTCCCAAAAATGCTTAACTTGAATCTCATCGTGAGGAAACAGACAAATCCAGATTGTGGAACAATTTACAAGACAGCTATCTTTGACTCTTAAGAAATGTCAGTATCATGAAAGATTAAAAAAAAAGTAGAGTAATGGTTTAGATTAAAGGAAATGAAGACATGACATGCAGTGCCTGACCTTTGATTGGATTCTGTACTATTCTTTCATCTTTATGGTATGTTTGAGTTTTTTTAAAATATAAATTTGGGCAAAAGAGATACCAAGATAATTGATTATTGTTATGGCTTATTGGGGGCAGTTTTAGAGAGATAAAAACAACCTCTGTTAACTGGAGTAAATCTCAAGGTTAATCTTAAGCAGTATAGCATGGTCATTAAGAATACAGATTCCACAGCCAGACTAGGCTTAAATCCCAGCTCCACTAATAATGTGAATTTGGGCAAACTGCTTAATCTCTGTTCCTTGGCCTTGTCATCATAGTACCTACTTCTCATGAGTTTTGAGGATTAAATAAATCAATACCCGAAAAATGCCTGGCACACAGTGAGTGCTCAACAAATGTTAACTACTGTAATTATTACATTGCAGAGACTGTGGGGCCCTTTTCTGGGTCCTTCAAAATGATGACTTTATCAGGACCTCATTAAAACTGTGAAAACAGGAGTGTTTCATGGATATATGAAGGCTATGAGTTGGGAGTACAATGTATATAGTTTTTTTTGTTTGTTTGTTTTACTATCTCCAGTAATGGGTATAAGCAAACGTATAGAGTTTTATATTAAAACTGCATCCAGTAAGCTGGCCTGACACAGCTTTCAAACCTATAGAGAAATAACCACTAGTGACTAGTAGTGTTCCTTTGGGTCCAGTGGAAGCCTTTGATCTTCATATAGAAAGAATGGACCCAGAACCATAACCTAGCATTTTACTTATATAGCAACCTTAACTCTGACATGAAGGTGTTTCTTTTGTTTGTTTTGAGGCAGGGTTTCACTCTGTTACACCGGCTGAGTGCAGTGGTGCAATCTTAGCTCACTGCAGCCTCTGCCTCCTGGGCTCAAGTGATCCTCCCACCTGAGCCTCCTGAGTAGCTAGAACTACAGGTGTGTGCCACCATGCCCGGCTAATTTTTGTATTTCTTGTAGAGATGCGGTTTCACCATGTTGCTCAGGCTGGTCTCAAACTCCTAAGCTCAAGCAACCCTCTCTCCTTGGCCTCCCAAAGTGCTGGGATTGCAGGCATGAACCCAAAGTTTTTGTTATTATTTTCATGCCTTTAACTTCTTATTTTAAACATTTTCTTTTTTTCATTTAAGCCTTAGGATGGCTGGGAAACATTTTCAAATGGTGTGATGAACACCTGTATAACTTCCATCTGGAATCAACAGTTGCTTTTTCCTTGCTTTTTTTTTTTTAATTTCCCACCTAACACCAACAGTTGCTAATACTTTGCCACATTTGCTTCCAATGTATGTATGTCTACACATTTTTTTAGACAAAACATTTGAGAGTAAGTTGCAGATATAATGAGCCTTCACCACTAAATAATTCAGTGTGCAGCCCCTAAGAACCAAGGCATTCTCCTCCATAACCAGAATACTATTATCACCCAATGAAACTTCATATTATCATTGCCTACTATGTAGTCCATATATAAATTTTCACAATTGCCCCAATCATATCATGGCTTAAAAAAACTCAGAATCCAATCAAACATTAGACATTGCATTTAGTTTTCATGGTTCTTTAGTCTCCTTAACTGTTCCCAGAACTGTTTTAAAGTATACTGACAAATCTTTGAGACTGTAAATGACCTGAGGTATAGATTATTCTTACTTGAGAATAGTAATTTTCCAATATGCATTAAAGATCATTAGACATGAGCCAAGACTCAAATGAGCTGGCCCACTTCCTTTGTATATAAATGTGTCAACTCCTGAAGACTCCGAATAATGAACTACAATAGGGCAGTTAGTTCAATGTCTTTCGGGTCTTGATGACAAATGGTTACAGAGAATAGGAGCACTTTTCTTAACCACTAATGGTAAAGAAGAAAGCAGACAGAACCTCACTATATTAGAGAACTAAGTGAGAAAGCTGGTTGATGAAGAGGACTTCATCCAGAGAGGAAGGGATCTAGCTGACATGGAAGATGCTGCAGGAGGCTGAGGAAAATGAGGCTAGAGCAATAAAACAGATTTGACAACGTGGTGAAGATAACAAAGTGACCTGACAAAAATGAATGCAGCAGTGCTAAATGAAGGGCCCATTCCATGCTAATCTTGTATAATGCGCTCAACTAGCCTTAGCGTATCTGACTTTCTATTTAGCTTGCCATATTGTGTGTTGGGGCATGGGTGGCACGATTTCAGTTGCAGTAAGTTGTGTAACAAACTCACAATAGGGCCCTGCAGATATATACAGGGTCATGCTCTGTCACCCACGCTGGAGTGCAGTGGTGCCATCTTGGCTCACTACAACCTCCACCTTCTGGGTTTAAATGATCCTTCCACCTCAGCCTTCCCGGTAGCTGGGACTTACAGGTGTATGCCACCGCACCTAGCTGGTGTGTGTGTGTGTGTGTGTGTGTGTGTGTGTGTGTATGTATATGTAATTTTAACTGCAAAGAAGGCCAGGCACAGTGGCTCATGCCTGTAATCCCAGCATTCTAGGAGGGTGAGGCAGGAGGATCACTTGAGGCCAGGAGTTTGAAACCAGATCCAAGCATTCTAGGAGGGTGAGGCAGGAGGATCACTTGAGGCCAGGAGTTTGAGACCAGCTTGGGCAACATAGACCTTGTTTCTACTAAAAATAAAAAATAAAATTGAAAAAAATAAATAAATACCTCACATCATATATGCAAATTAACTCAAAATGGATCATAGACCTAAATGTAACTATACAATTTCTGGGAGAAGGCATAAAAGAAAATCTTTTTGACTTTGGATTAGACAACAGGTTCTTAAAGATTTCTTAGGTAAGGAAAAAGCACAAGCCATGTAAGAAAAAATTGCTAACTTAAAGCTTATAAAAATAAAAAACTTCTGCTCTTCAGAAAACACTTTTATTTTTATTGTTTATTTTTCATTTTGAGACAGAGTCACACTCTGTTGCCCAGGCTGGAGTGCAGTGGTACAATCTCAGCTCACTGCAACCTCCACCTCCCAGGTTTAAGCATTTCTCATGCCTCAGTCTCCTGAGTAGCTGGGATTACAGGTGCCTGCCACCACTAATTTGTGTATTTTTAGTAGAGATGGGATTTGCCATGTTGCCTGGGCTGGTCTCGAACCCCTGACCTCAGATGATCCACCAGCCTTGGCCTCTCAAAGGTGCTGGGATTACAGGCGTGAGTCACTGTGCCCAGCCAGAAAACACTTTTAACAGAATGAAACGACAAACCACAATCTGAGAGAAGATATTTACTAAACACATATCTAAAAGGCCTTTTTTAAAAAAAAAATTTTATTTACTTATTTAATTGTTGATACAGCATCTCACTCTGTGATCCAGGCTGGTGTGCAGTGGTGATCATGGCTCACTGCAGCCTTGACCTCCCAGGCTCAAGCAATCCCAAAGTGCTGGGACCACAGGTATGCACCACCATACCTGGATTGTTTTTATAGTTTTGGTAGAGATGAGGTTTCACCATATTGCCCAGGTTGTCTCAAACACCTGGCCTCAAGCAATCCTCCTGCCTCAGCCTCCCAATGTGCTGGGATTATAGGCGTGAGCCACTGCACCTGGTCCCTGAAAGGACTTGTATCTAGAGTCTATAAAGCACTCTTAAAAGTCAATAATAAATAATCTCTCATGGAGGGGAAAAAAACCTGATTAATAAAAAGATTAATATTCAATTAAAATATGGGAATAGATTTGAACAATTTAGTAAAGAAGATATTTGCACATGAACAGACATTCAACATCACTAGCTATTAAAGAAATGCAAATTAAAACCACAATGAGATTCCACTACACATCTAGCAGTAGAAGGGCAAACATTTCTTTAAAAACTGAAATACAAGAATCTGCTGGGCCGGGCCAGGCATGGTGGCTCATTCATGTAATTCCAGCACTTTGGGAGGACAAGGTGGGTGGATCATGTGAGGCCAGGAGTTTGAGACCAGCCTGGCCAGCAAGCTGAAACCCTGTCTCTACTAAAAATACAAATACTAGCTGGGCGTGGTGGTGGGCTCCTGTAATCCCAGTAATTTAGGAGGCTGAGGGAGGAGAATCCTTTGAACCTGGGAGGGGGACATTGCAGTGAGCTGAGATCGTGCAGCTGCACTCCTGCTTTGGCAATTAAAAAATAAAAAAAAAAAAATCAGCTGGGCTGGGCATGGTGGCTCACCCCTCCCAGCACTTTGGGAGGCCAAGGCGGGTATATCACTTGAAGTCAGAAGTTCAAGACCAGCCTGGCCAATATGGTGAAACCCCATCTCTACTAGAAATACAAAAATTAGCTGGGTGTGGTGGTGGATGCCTACCCACTTGGAGGGCTGAGGAAGGAGAATTGTTTGAACTCAGGGGGTGGAGGTTGCAGTGAGCCAAGATAGTGCCACTGCACTCTAGCCTGGGGATAGAGCAAGGCTGTGTCGAAGAAAAAAAAAAAAGAATCTGCTAAAGTTATGGAACAACTGCAACACTCACAACGCTGGTGGAAATGTAAAATGGCACAGACACTTTAGGAAACAGTTTAGCAGTTTCTTAAAAAGTTAAATATGCACTTAGCATGTGAACAATCCAAATCCTAGGTATTTACCCAAAAGAAATGAAACATAGGTTCACACACAAGACCTGTATATGAGTGTTTTTAGCAGTTTTTATTCATAATTGCCAAAAAATTGAAAACAACCCAAATGTCCATACATTGATGAATGGATAAACAAATGGATACATCCACACAACTGGAATACTACTGAGCAATGAAAAGGAGTGAACAGTTGTCCCTCAGTGTCTGCAGGGGATTGGCTCCAGGACCAGCAAAGTCCATAGAGGCTGAAGTCTTTTATATGAAATAACATAGTATTTGTATATAGCCTTGGGTATACTTTAAATACCTAATACAGTATAAATGGTATGTAAATAATTATACCGTATTTTAAAATTTCTACTGTTTTTATTATTTCATACATTTTACTTTTTCCAAATACTCTCCATCCATGGTTAGTTGAATCCATGGATGAGGAACCTGCAGATATGGAGGGCCAGCTGTACTGATAGGTGCAACAATATGGACAGTTAGCAATCATATCAAAAAAAATTATGCTAAGTGAGGCCAGGCACAGTGCCTCATGCCTGTAATCCCAGCAGTTTGGAAGGCTGAGGGGGTGGGATCACTTCAGGTCAGGAGTTTGAAACCAGCATGGCCAACATGGTGAAATCTCGTCTCAACTAAAAATACGAAAAATTAGCCAGGCATGGTGTGCAGGTGCCTGTAATCTCAGCCAGCTACTCAGGAGGCTGAGACAGGAGAATTGCTTGAACCGGGGAGGTGGAGGTTTGCAGTGAACTGACGTCACGTGGCTGCACTGCAGCCTGGGTGACAGAGTGAAACTCTGTCTCAAAAAAAATTATGCTAAGTAAAAGAAGCCAGATACAATAGGCTACATGCTCCTGTATGATTTCATTTATAAGACATTCTGGAAAAGGCAAAACTATAGGAATAGAAATCAGATTAGTAGCTAACCATTAGGGCTGATGGTGGGAGGAGGGGCATTGACTACAAGGGACACCAGGGGCCTTTTTGAGGTGAGAGAAATGCTTTATATGGGAATGTGTGGTGGTTATGTCAATATCCTTTGTCAAAACTCATTGAACTGTACACTTAAAAAGGGTGAATTTTGTTTATATGAAAATCATATCTCACTAAACTGACTTAAGAAAATACTAAAACAGCCGGGCGCGGGTGGCACGTGCCTGTTAGTCCCAGCTACTTGGGAGGCTGAGGTAGGAGGATGCTTGAGCCCAGGAGTTATGGGCTGTAGTGAGCTATGCTGATCGGGTGTCTGCACTAAGTTCGGCATCAATATGGCGACCTCCTGGGGGCGGGGGACCACCAGGTTGCCCCTGGAGGGGTGAACCGGCCCCAGGTCGGAAAAGGAGCAGGTCAAAACTCCCATGCTGATCAGTAGTGAAATCACGCCTGTGAATAGCCACTGCACTCGACTTGGGCAACACAGCGCGACCCCGTCTCTTAAAAAACAAACAAACAAAAAAATTAAACTAAACCCAACCTAAAGAACCAATTAAGTGAAAATACATCTAAAAAATAAACCGTTTTCCAAAAGAGTAAGGACTTAACTTAAGTTTGTGTTTTTCCCAAAGAGTCATCGTGATAGCCGATTCAACTGCTTAAAAAAGATAGTTAGGACTGTCTTAGCTTTTTCAAGAACTGTCTGCAATGTGTTTTTGAAAGAATTCGTGATCAGTCGGATATAAATGCTCGTAAAATTAAAAATTCAATATGAAAATGACAAGTGTTTGAATTTCATGGCTTTTCTATTGCAGCAATTCTTCCAGAGTTTATTTGTTGCAGAGAACTTCCAGAGAGCTCTTATTAAAGAAATTTAAGTTGATTGCATCATCAAATTAATGATATTCAAAGTAGAACTTGTACTTTTTTTTTTTAACCATTATCTTACTCTCATTTTCATATTGGATTCACTCATCTTGATTATTTACTTTTTTCTTCCTTTTAGATAATGAACACCTATTCCTCCTTCCTCTCTTAGTAAGTAATATTCTCTCCATGTGTCTGCATGTTCCAAATCCGTATGGTTCTTCAACACTGTCTCTTCCCCCTGCTGGCTGTCTGACCACTATATATCCTTTCTTAATCCTTTTCTTGTGCCATAACTTTTTTGTAATAACCCAGTTAAATTTAAATTATGACTTTTAGCCTAAATGCAAATATTTAATCATTGATGAAAAACTTAAAAAGAGCATAAATCATTTCATGACTCATGAAGTACTATAATACTTACAGATATTTAATGCTGGCAATTTAAACAATATGGATCTTCGACAGTTGTCAGAGGATTGCGACTGAGAATTCTGAAAAGAGCAAGGATTAAAATTACCTGCATTTTCAATGTGTGAAACTGCATAAAAGTTTATATTTCATTTTTTTGGTATGGAACTTGTAGGTAAAAAAATCATTTTCTGTTTTGCCCATAAATCAATCCCATTAGACTCCATAAAGCACTATTCCTCTGGGAACTACCTAGGTTTCTAGAAGATAAAGCAGAGGAGAGAAAGAGGGGAAACAGAAAAACCAAATGTGGGGGAAAAAATAAGCCACAGAACTTTCAGGTCAAAAACCCCGAAGTAGACTCTGCTGGTAGGAAGCCCTGACTCCGTAGGAAACACTGTTTTCTAGTGTCCTCCATAATTCGGTTGCTTTTTTTTTTTGAAATAAAGTCTTGCTCTGTCACCCCAGCTGGAGAGCAATGGCTGGATCTCAGCCCACTGCAATCTCTGCCTCCCACGCTCAAGTGATCCTCCTGCCTCCTGCCTCAGCCTCCTGAGTAGCTGGGATAACAGGCTACTCAGGCAACCCCACCACCATCCCAGCTAATTTTTGTATTTTTAGTAGAAGCAGGGTTTCTCACCAGGTTGACTAGGCTGGTCTCGACTCCTGACCTCAGGTAATCCACACACCTCAGCCTTCCAAGTGTTAGGATTACAGTGTGTGTGCCACTGTGCCTGGCCACTTGTCTTATCTTTATAAAGTTTAAATTTATGGTCTAATTTGCACAGTTAAGGAAAAAACATAGGACCAATTCTTTTGCTTTTAGCCAAAAAAAATCGATAAATCTAAGAGGAGGACAGGTCAAAACCATACTCCTATCACATACTCCCACTTGTATTCTAGTATCACATCACAGCTTTGCCACATTGCATGTAACCACCTGTCTACTGTCAGTGTCCTGGACTATCAGCTCCTTAAGGGAAGACACCACATCTTATTGCCATTGGTGACCCCTGTGCTGGGCATGATGTCTGAAATTTACTAGGCATTTAATAATGTTTATTGAATAAACAAATGACAGTTTGTTTGTATGTCAATAAAAAAGAATAAATTCATTTTGATGCAAATTTTATTCCAAATGCTGGAATCTGTTTTCTTTTTAATTCTTTAAAAGTGAATGAAAAAATAAAAGAAATAGAAGAAATAAAAGAAAATCTGCCTTTAGGTTAATCCAAGAATCATCACCATACTTTTGCAGAAATTATAAAAATAGTAATTATTACAGTGAGTATCTATTGGGCTGGCAGGTATTTGTGATCGGCACTTCACATTTAATCCTCACAATAACCTTATGTGGCAGACATTATTATTGCCCTATTTTATAAATGAGGAAATGAGGAACAGAGAGCTTACATAATTTGTCCTAGGTCACCAAGCTATTAAGAAGTAAAGCTGTAATTTGAACTCTGTGTTTAATCTGTATGAAAAAAAGGGTTACTTCAACCTTATGGGTTTTAAAATTCTTTCTTTCTTTTCTTCTTTCTTATTCCCCACCCGCCCTCCTTCTTTCCCTTTCTTCCTTCCCTCCCTCCCTCCTTCTTTCTCTTTCTCTCTTTCATTCTTTCTTCCTTTCATTCCCCTCCCTCCTTCTTCCCCTTTCTTCCTTCCCTCCTTCCATCCCTCCTTTCATTTCTTCTTTTTTTCTTTGTTCCTTCTTTCCTTCATTTCCCTCCTCCTTTCCTTTATTATCCTATTCCTCCTGTTTTAGGGCATTCTTTTCTTGACTAAGGTTGTGCCTGGACCACTGAGTGGGAACTGACTCAACAGCTAAACTTTGAGGACTCTTTAGCAACTCTTTTCCACAAACCAAATGAATGAATGTTTTTATTTATTATATTTATGTTTCGACTTTTTAAAGTTTTTCTGTAGAGATCGGGGTCTCACTTTGTTACCCAGGGCTGCTCTTGAACTCCTGAACTCAATCGATCTGCCCGTCTTGGCCTCCTAAAGTGGTGGGATTACAAGCGTTAGCCACCGAGCCCGGCCTCAAGCGTTTTATGTGTGCACAGTAGATGATCATTTCCATTTCTGGTTCAAGTCCTTCATTTTATACATTAAACTAAGGTGCACTGACTCCCAGTCCATTGCCTTTTTGATATCTTTATGGGAATAAAATGTGGCAAGTTTTGGCCTCAAAGACTGTCTCAGAGTCAAAGTTTAAGAAGTATTGCTCTAAATAATTTTTTAATATGCCTTATTAGAAGAGAAAAACTCAAAATATTTTGTGCCAACCTTTTGCTACAGAACAATGGGACAGAATAAAGGTAGCTCACAAAATAAGGGAACATTTCTTGCCTGCTTTTATTTTTTCTCCAGATTCTTCTATATAGGGCCCACAGATGGGTTATGTTTCCTTTCTATTAACTGAGAGAAAGCAGGACAAAGGACTGGAGCATGTCATCACTGTCCTAGATGTACTGAAATCCAAGCAGCTTTAGCTGAAAAAATGTCCAAAGCATGCCGTGAAAATAAATGTAAATTTAAATGACAAACTCCAAAATGATCTATGCTAGAATCCCAACGCAGTCAGGGAAAACTGGTTCCATGGAGGAAGGTAGTCAAAAAAATAAGGTGACCTAGACCCTCATCCAATATGTGTGATGTACTTGGGAGAAAGAGAAAACACATCTCTCCATACCATTTCAGGGGCAAAGTCTAGAGAATCTGAAATGGTGAGCCTATTTTTTTTTTTTTGAGATGGAGTCTCACTCTGTTGCCCAGGCTGGAGTGCAGTGGCATGATCGCTCACGGAAACTTCCACCTCCCGGGTCAAGTGATTCTCCTGCCTCAGCCTCAGAGTAGCTGAAATTATGGTGTCTGTTATCACACCTGGCTAATTTTGTATTTTTAGTAGAGATGGAGTTTCACTCACTATGTTGGCCAGGCTGGTCTTGAAACTCCTGAGCTTGAGTGATCACCCACCTCAGCTCCCAAAGTATTGGGATTGCAAGGATGAGGCACCATGCCTGGCCATGAGGCCTGTATCTTTAACTCTTGAGAATAATCTTGAAGAAGACTCCTGGCAATGAAGAATAACCGAGAATCAGGCAGACTTGGGTTTGCAGTTCTGGCTCTGTCACTTTCCGGTGAAGTGACTTGAGTAATGAACATGAACCTTTCTGGGTAGCATTTACAGTTCAAGGAAGTTTGAGGAATAAATGAGTATAGCACCTAGCAGTGGGCTGGACACAGCACATGATGGTGCTCAGCCATCGTGACGTCACACCAGCACTGGCCAGTGAGCATAAACCCTGGGGATGCCCAGAAGTGGTACAGTCAGGAGCTCCAGAAGCATGGGATTCTCAGAGGGAAATGGAGGTCACTGCTCAAAAGGTCCTATTCAAGTTACAAAGTAGGATACAATGCACACAAAGCAAATTGTCATCATTCAGCTCCTATTACAGAGGAACTACAGCTGCATAGAAAATTACTTGCAAAGCTTGTTAAGTGGTTCTGCCACTTAATAGCCATGTGAACCTAAGTAAATTACCCAGCATCTCTGAGTTTCAACTTCCTCATCTGCAAAATAGAAATGATAATAATATCCACATCACAGAGTTGTTGGAAAAATGAAAATGAGCTCTTATAGGAGGTAACATGTATTGAGCATTTACCATATGCCAAGCACTATTCTAAGAACTTTGGACATGTTATCTCACTTGTATAAGCACTTAGGTGTCTAGAACATAAACAGCACCTAATAAATGTAAGTGTTGAAAAAATGCTATGGGGCACAGGAAGAAAACGCTAAGCTTCTGTGAAAAAGACAGCTTGTTACACAGGGGAGAAGAATAAGCTGCAGTGAGAGAAGAAAAGTATAAGAGTTGCCAGGTGTGACAATCTCAAGACTTTTCAACCATTACAAATTTAAACAGCCACCCTACATCACCCCAAGGACAGACGAGTTGTTCTTTTCATCTTTAATGTTGTGCCTCTCTGTTCCGGTACATACCAAAACGTGATGACAATACCCTCAACTGTGCAACCTTTGTGCATCTACCGCTATGTAAAGGAAGCTGATGTCAGCAGACTGGGGGAACAACAAGGCATGCTTGTGACTCAATTGCCATCACAGGGTGGCCACACCTACATCACTAATATTCTGATAGTGGGATAAAGCCTGGATTTTCCTCTTCTCTCTTGGCTACATCTTGGCACGATATTGATGTGCCATAGACAAGCCAGCATGTGAGCGTGCTCTATCTGAGTAAAACCTGTAATCCCAGCTACTTGGTAGGTGAGGATCGCTTGAACCTGGGAGGCAGAGGCGTGGTGAGCTGAGAGCGCGCCACTGCACTCCAGCCTTTCTACATTGCAAAGTCATCCAGTTTCTAAAATTATGGAGGTTGTATTGTTAGAACCAATGAAATGACGAAGAATTTTTAAAGATAAGCCATCAGACTAGACCTGTGTATGGAAATGAAGGAGAAGCACTTTAAAGTCAGGGAAAAAAATAAACATACTCAACATTTAGATCATCATCACCACATTGCTGTTTCCATAAACCATTTCATTTCATGATTTCGTCTGTAATCATTCATGATTATGCTACCATTCAGAGGGGGACTTTGTTAGCTGCCTGGTCCTTCTTGCTTCAATGCCTTGCAAATAAATGCCCTCCTTTCCCCATATACAAAACCTTGATATAGCTGTTTGGCTTTACTGCGCTTGGGCCAGCAGACCCAGTTAGAGTCCACTAATAAGCTCTTGTATGTGCCTTAGAGATGATTTCAGATTCCAATATAGACTGACCCTACCACACTAACTTGGCCCAGTCAGTATTTGTCAATAACAGTAGATGCTTCATTCAGAAAATTTACTGGTTGTAACTTTTGAACCCAGGAGCTATTTCAGAATAGGGGTTTGAACCTTATCCAGTGAAACATAAAATGATGAATACAAATTTGCCAAGGAGCCCTCCCAGAACCTTGGAAGGGGCCTGTGCAAGTGAGAAGTCCTAATGAGGGGCTTAGGCCCTTTCAGTTCACACATCAATCCACCACAGCTGGGGGCCTCTTTTTTTTCTTCAAACTTGAGTAATGCAGGAAAATACATTCTTTCAACTTATAAACACCACGGAATGGTGGCCATATTGATCAAAAATTACTTGGCAATTTGCCTTTGAACAAAATGCAATGGGGCTATATGTCACATATGCCAAATATGATTCTGCAATGTAGCTTTGTTTACCAGAAAAATTGACTCCAAACAAAGGAGGCCCAGTCCCAAGTGTACACTTGCTGTGTTGAGAACCGTTGTGTCAATATTTGAAAGTAACTGTGTCTTAGTTTGAAGGGTACAGTCTCTATTCTGCTTATATGAAATGAGTACTAATTTTCAAGTATCAGCTAGCTCTGATTTTTTCTCATCACCAGAAGCAAATGCTCTTTTCTGTTAAGATGAACACAGAAACTCGAGATGAGCAAGGTGGTGTCTCCTCGAGTCTTCCTTAACCCACCACCCATTCCTACTTTGTCTCGTCCTGTCACTCACCCTGCTGTACAGATGCCCACATAGCTCTCCTATGTTTCCCATCAGCATCGGCTTCCTTCTTGAGGTGTGAAAGTCTCCATCTTGGTGTGTCTTTAAGATGGATTTTGTACCCCCCACACTCAGTACAGTACCTGGCACAAATGGACATGGCACTGAGTGAATGTTTTTGAGTGAATTCTTCATTTTTATCAGCTGTGATTCCGTGTTTTCTCAGTGTTGCCACATACTGTAGTGAAGCTGGCCAGATTATTATTATTTTTTTGAGACTGAGTCGACTCTGTTGGGGCCCAGCTGGAGTTTGATGGCATGATCTCGGCTCAATGCAACTCTGCCTCCTGGTCAAGTGATTCTCCTGCCTCAGCCTCCTGAGTAGCTGGGATTATAGGCACCTACCACCACATCCAGCTTAATTTTTGTTACTTTTGGTAGAGATGGGTTCCACCCACCTCAGCCTACCAAAGTGCTGGATTACAGGCGTGAGGCCATGCTCCCGGCCACCAGATCTTATAGGGACTCCCGTATCATAAAGTGCTTAGTAACGGTGGGTGTTTTAAGACATTTTATTAATGCTACCTACAACACCTCTTGGTGAGAGGAACTTAATGAGCCTGGTCTCTGATGTGAGATCAAAAGAAAAACAGACCCTCATTGCCTTTTCCTAATTTAGCATCAGCAAATTAATGAGGACAGAGAGGACCATCTGCAGAAACTGTTGCTCTAGTCCAGAACATTCGCTGATGCCTCCCTCTACCTCAAAATGAACTGTGTGAAACTAGACGTCTGAAACTCAAGAGAGGTGGAAAGTCTTTCTAAAGTCAGATGTA